TTCAATATGAGAATGTGAAGATGAAGAGACTAATGAAATTCTTGCAAAGGATTTCAAATGAATGTTCACAGGATTACTCACAAACAATGAGAAGAAAATTAATGAGCTAAAGAAATCCACACATGACATGAATGGAAAATTTGCCCATGAGATTTTGAAGAGAAATAAAACTGAAATATTAGAAATGAAGCACTGAGGGAGGCACTGACATGGCACAGTGAGTTAAGCTGCCATCTGCAGTGCCAGCATCTCATATAGGCAAAGGGTGGTGTCACAGCTGCTCCATATCCAATCTAGGTCCCTGCTCATGCACATGGGAAAGCAGGGGAAGATGGCCCAAATCCTGGGGTCTCTGACACCAAATGGGAAACCTGGAAGAAGCTCCTTGCTCCTGGCTTGGGCTTGACCCAACCCCAGCAGATGCAGCCATCTAAGGAGTGAACCAGCAGATAAAAGATCTCTCTCTCTCCATATATATATATATATATATATATACACACTCATATATATATATGTACACACATATATGTATATACATATACATATATATATCTTATCTCTGTAAATAAATAAAATAAATATTTTTTTAAAAAATGAAGAATTCAATATGTCTTATAAAAATACAGTGGAAAGTCTTAACCTATTCAAAACAACTGAAAGGGAGAGAATCCCTCCCAAAATCATTCTATGAGGCTAACATCATCTTAATTCCTAAATCAGAAAAACACACAACGGAGAAAGAGAACTACAGATCAATATTCCTGATGAGCATAGATGCCAAGATCCTCAACAAAATAATAGCTAATCGAATCCAACAGCACATTAGAAACATCATTCACTCAGAACAAGTGAGATAATCCCTGGTATGCAGGGATGGTTCAAAAATCACAAATAAATGTGATACATCACATTAACAAATTAAAGAACAAAAGCTGCATGATTATCTCAATAGATGCAGAGGAAGCATTGATAAAATACAACACCATTTCATGATTAAAAATCTAAAGCAAATTGGGAATACAAAGAACATTCCTCAATACAATCAAGGGTGCTTATGGAAGACACACAGAAGCAACTTATTGAATGATGAAAATTTGGAAGCATTTCCACTAACAGAACCAGACAAGGATGCCAACTTTCAACACTGCTATTGAATATAATCTTGGAGGTTTTAACCAGAGCCACTATGCAAAAAAAAAGTAATCAAAGGCTACAAATTTGTAAGGAGGAAAGGAAATTATTCCTGTTTGCAAATGACATGATTCTATATAGAATATATATATATAATCTCTCTATATAATATATATAGAAAATATATATAGAAAATCTCTATATATAGAAAATATATATGTATAATCTCCATATATAATATTCTATATATATATATTCTCTATATATGTATAGAATATATAGAGAGAATATATAGATAGAATATATATAGATATATAATATATATAATAATATATATAATAGAATATATATATATAATATATAGAATATATATATCATATATTGTGTATATAGGTAATATATTCTATATATAGAATATATATTTTATATTGTATATATAGGTTATATATATTCTATAGAATATATATAATATATAGAATATATATATAGAGAGAATATATATAGATAGAATATATATATATAGACTATATAGAGAGAATATATATATATATAGAATATATACAGAGAGAGAATATATAGGAGAATGATAAAACTCCACTAATAGACTATTGAAACTCATGAAACTCATAACGAGCTTGGTAAAATGACAGAATATAAAATTAATGGACAAAAATCAATAGCCTTTGTAAACACATAAAATATTTGCTAACTAGGCAACTGTTAAAGGAATAATATCCAGGATCTATAAAGCAGTGAAAAAATTCAACAACAAGAAAACAAACAATCCAGTTAAGAAATGAGTGAAGGACTTGAACAGGAATTTTCAAAAGAGGAAATTCAAATGGCCAACAGACACATGAAAAAATGTTCAGGATCACTAGCCATCAGGGAAATGTAAATAAAAATGACAATGAGGATTTACCTCCCCCCAGTTAGAATGGCTCTCACAGAGAAATCAGAGAATTAAAAAAATAAAACAAATGCTGATGAGGATGTGTGAAAAAAGGTTCCCTAAACCACTGCTGGTGGGAATGCAAACTAGTACAGCCAGTGTGGAAGAGATTATAGAGATTCCTCAGAAACATGAAAATATATCTACCATATAACCCAGCAACCCCAACCCTGGGAATTTACCCTTCCAAAATAAATCAGCATATGCAAGAGTTATCTGTAACCACAACTTAATTGCAGCTCAGTTCACAAAAGCTAAGGCATGGAATCAAATGAGATATCCATCAAGTGATGACTGGATAAAAAAACATATATACACATGATGGAATATTACTCAGCCATAAAAAATATGAAATCCTGTCTGTGCAACAAATGGATGCTACTGGAAAACATTATATTAAATAAAAGAAGCTCATCCCCCCAAAAAAACTACCGTGTGTTTTCACTGAACTTGGTAAGTGATAGAATACAAATATGTGAGTGAAAATGACATTTTGAGAACTGATTCTTGTTTATAGCCCTTGCCTCAACTGTTATGGAACAGTGTTTTTCTTATTATTATGCTCTGAAATCTCCTCGTGGGGGTTAATTGTATGAGTATAAAATAAAATGAAAGTATGTTATTATAAAATTTAAAAGAAAGAATAAGAAAAAGGAGGAGGGAGGGTGGGAGAAAGGGTAGAGGGGGAATTGCCACTATGTTCCTAAATCTGTATATATTAAGTACTTATTTGTTCACCTTATGTAAGTAAAAATGTTTTTAAAAAGATGACTGCACTCAGTATCGGAATATTTGGGTTTGATATCCAGCTGTAGCTCCTCTCTTAAACTTTTGTTAATATAGGCATCAGTAACTGGATCAAGTTACTGGATTCCTGTCACCATATGGGAGAACCCGATTGAATTCTTGGCTCCTGGTTCTGACCTGACTCAGTCCCAGCCACTGCAGGCCCTTTGGGAATGAACCAGATGGCAGGGCTCTCTCACTGTCTTTCTCCACCTCCCTCCCTCTCAAATAAATAATTTTTAAAATTTTATTCCAAAGTATTTTATTTTTATATATTATAAATCAAATGTTTTCTTGATTTCTTTTTAAACTGTTCTTTTAGTGTAAAGAAACTGCTGGTTTTTGTAAGCTGAGTTTGTATCTTTACTGATTTATTTATTGGTTCCAACAGAGTTTTAGTTGGGCCTTTAAGATCATATGGAAATAGAAACACTTAGCTTCTTTCTTTCTCATTTGTATACCTTTCATTACCTTTTCTTGCTCAGTTTCTTTGTCTAGGACTTACAGTAATATGTTGAAGAAAACTGGTGAGAATAAACATTCCTATAGTGTTTCTAATCCATGTTTAAAAACTTTCAGCTTTTCACTATTGACGACCATGTTAGCCCCAGACTTGTCATATCCAGCCTTTATTGGGATGAGCTACATCCTTCCTATTCCAAATTTTTAGAACTTTTATAAAGAAAGGATTTTGAAATTTGCACCTCTCCACCATGTTCTAAATTAAATTACTCTCTTTTTCTTTCTGTAATTCTGTCAAACAAATAAATCTTAAAAATTAATTAATTAATTGAAGTGACTACCAACTGAGCATTACCTCGGCACATCCCATAGCACTTCATATATAGTTGTCTTCAACAGTGAGACCCTATATCCCTTGGTTGAGATCTCTCTCATTTGTCTGTCCCACTAAATTCTTGCAAGTACTATATCTAATGGGCCATCAAATCTCTTATTTTTATGCTGCCTTAGTATCCGCTAGAAAAAAAAAATCTACTTCTACATGGTAATAGTTGCTTATCACTAATTCTCTTATTAAGTTAGTTGCAACTGCTTCCTTATGGTTATTTGGCTATCCTAGCAATCATTCAGGAAACTTACCAAAACAATACTCACATGCCTTATCAATAGCCCAGGCTCCATTTTCTTTCTTAACACTGTTGATATTCCTGATGTGAAGTTCAAATGCAATGTGAGCCCTCCCACTTTTCCTCTTCAAAAGCTTGAGATTTGTCACCTACCATGTCCTCTTTTCCTTCTGTCTAAAAGAGTATGTTAACTCTCTTTTGGAAGAATTCTTTGACATCTAATACAGGGAATCACTTGGTTTACACCTTTCATCTTTCTCTAAAAAACTACCCCTCAACAAAATAATTTCTTGGTTTTTTCCATATAAAAATATTTTCCTGGTCATAAATGTCAATCTTAAAAAATAAATGTGTTCATGCAACCTTCCTGTTTCTCGTTTCTCTGCACAATATTTTCTATAAGCTTTTTTGTATACTTGCCTGCTTCAGTTCTCATAATTTGGCTCCTCCTAATAGAAGGATACCTAGTTCCACCCCAAAAATTTAATTGAAACTCTCTTCTTGAATGCCCTAAATTACTTCTAAGATAGCCTTTCTCAACAAGGTTTCTTCAAAGTGTTAAACCTCACAGAAAATTATTTCAATTATTTCTCAATTCTCTGAAGGGTAGCATATAGCTAGTACCATTTTCCATAAACTGTTCACCAGCCCCATGACAGCACAAAATCCAGTGGCTATATTAAAGAACTCACTCTACATCCTCATGGTGGTACAACCTCTCTAATAAAATCCTAAATAACAAAATCATGTGACGTAAAGCCTGATTATAGAGGGAATGCTGGTCTTGCCAAATTCATAACAAGCATCTCAGACTTCAGGTGATGAGGCCAGATTTCCGGTTGTTGTTGTTTTTTCTAACCTCTAGTCACAAAATACTACTTGGGACATTAGGCCTAAAATTTAAGTAACTCACGGGGATAAACTGGCCATCTAAGATAACTAAATTCTCAATAACAACTATATTTGCTGGTTTTCAATATACATTTTATTATAAATAAACAGCTTCATAAGAATAAATTTTAAAACTAAATAATAAAATTTACCTCTGCTTAAGGTGAACAGTATACAGTGTTTCATTTATTGGAATGATATAGGACATCTGATCCTAAAGAATCCAGAACAATTGTGTGAAACAAATTATTGTAAGAGGCAAACAGTAGCTTTATATAAAATCCCTCAAAGAATGCTTAAAAAGTCTTAATCAAAATGTTATAGACTATTTCTGATTTTAAAATCTGCCAACAAAATATTTTTAAATGTTGGATATTTGTAAATTATAGGATCCATTCTTACTATTTTCATAATATAAATTCAGTCGAAGAATTTATCTACATGTAAGTAAACTGTAACCTTCTTCTGAAAGAAAAGTCCATGTGTGGACACCAATTTAGGTGGTATCACTGGGATAATAGGCATTTACATAAATGAAACTTACTCTAATAGGCAGAAATATTATTTAGACACTTTCTTAAAAATTATCCCAAGGTTCATTGCAAGCTTCCTTTATTATTGAAGAAAAGATTCTTATCCAAAATTTGGTATTGTCTTTGAGTTTAAAAATAATGTTTTCAAGTTAGAACAAGCATGGCAATAGGCTGTGATAACTATAAGGAGGTGAACCTAAGTAATGATTCTATCCTGTAAAATGAAACATGTGAAAGTAAGAGAACATCAGTGAAAACAAAAACAAGTTAAAGATTATTAAAACTAAATTAACACAAATACTATAACACAGAAAAACATGAAATATGTAAGCATCCTAGGTCTGTGAAAATACAGAGCAGCCAAGATTCTATATAAACCAGTAGTAGCTGGTCAAGAATGAAACAAGAAAGTTAAAATCATGGATGATACATGAAGTGAACATCATGAAACTCCTGATAGCACTAAGAAGAAGAGCATTTCAGCTCTATGGTAATCTTCTCTACAGCATATAACCTCAGCCTAATCATGAGGAAATATCAGGTAAACCCAAATTTAGAGTCATTCTACAGAATATCTGACCAATACTCTTCAAAACTCTCAAGATTGTTAAAAAAAAAAAAAGTGAAGACCAAGAAACAGTGAAAAGGAGATGGGCAGACATGACTTCTTGTCTCCTAGATTGGAATCAGGAACAGAAATAAGAAATTATGGTAAAAACTGATAAAGTCCAAATAAAGTTATATATAGTTAATATAGATAGTTAATTGCAAGGTGCCACTAATAATTTATTTATCTTTAAAAATGTATCCACATGGTTATATAACAATTAACATTACAGAAAACTGAGTGAACACTGTATGTGAGTTATCTGTAGATGTTTGCAATTTACCTACTAGTCTAAAATTGTGCCAAAATTTTAGAAGTTCATGGGAAACAAAGAGAATTAACAGGGAAACTGGAAGAAGGGAAAAACTACAGAGAAGAAATGCAAAAGGGAAGACCTTGACAATGAAGGAGCAGGGTATACTAGTTTCAAAATTTGCATTGGTAAAAAAATACTTCCTTGGTAAGTGCAATTTAAATGTGATAACTGAACACAGATTTTGGAAAAGTTTTACCTTTTGGTAAAGTAGACTGATGTTCAAGTGGTTCCAATATGTACTTCATAGATGAACAAATTCTCAAACAAAAACTTTGTAATTATTAAGATATTAGTGTGCTTCCTTTATATTTTTACTATGGGAGTTAGCATGAAATGTCTTTTTTCTGTTATTTTTCATGTTAATGTAATATTAATGCAAGTAGAACAGAGTTGATGTAGTTCAGATACAATTCTAAGAATATAAGGTTAATCAATTCCTCCCTCCCACCCTCCCCCACCCTCCCAACCTACCTCCATCCCTCTCCCCTTTTTTACTTCTTCTCTTTCTATGTCTATGTCTATCTTTCCTTGTAAGTTACATTTAAATTTATATGAAATTCAATGGTTTAATGAATTTCTCTGGTAAGTGAACAGCAATAAGTAAAAAGTAAAACCCTATTTCAGCAGGAATATTAGGCAATGACTATCAAAAATATCAAATGGAAAGGTGAACATTTCACCAATACACAGTAAATTTCAAAATAATCACAGATCATCAAAACTGTAAGAGTATAATATTCTTAACCAATGGCTTGACAAAAACATAAAACAAAGCATCACAAAAATATATTTGCAGCAATACTGATACAGTCATTTTATTTTTTTCTTTTAATTTTAGCTCCCACATACAAGGGAGAAATCTGGTATTTGTATTTCTCTGTCTGGCTTACTTCACTCAATATGATGTCTTTCAGCTGCATCTATTTTGTGAATTGTATAATTTCAGTTTTAATAGTTGAATACTATTCTAATTTTTATGTATATGCCTCCATGTCAGCCTCCATGCCCATTTTTTAATTTGATTTGGCCTATTTTTTTGATGTTGAATTTCTTGAGTCGCTGACATATTCTGGATCTTAATCCTTAATCAGATAGCATGCAAATACATTTGCCATTCTGTAGAATGTTGGCTATACTTAAGCTTCTGATTCTAATAAGATTCAGTATGTTTAGTTTTATTTCCTGTATGTTGGGGGTCTTACCCAAGAAGTTACCACCTAAACCAACATCTTAGAGTATTTCCTGTTAACTTTCTTCAAGTAATTTCATAGTCTCATGTCATAAACTTAGATCTTTCATCCATCTTGAGTTGACTTTTGTATATGGTGAGATGTATTGAATTAATTTCTATATATATATACTATATATAATATGTAATACATATATTATATATATGCCAGCACCACAAAATGAATATTTTATTCTTACTCACATGTATGATCTGTGCACTTTTGTCAAATATCAGTTGGCTATATGTATGTGGAATAATTCCTGGGCTCTCTGTTCTGTTCCACTGATCAATGTGTCATTTTAGAGATCTTTCATTGCTTTGATTAAGCTTATTCTTAAATATTTGATGTTTTTTCTGGTGGCAATTATGAGATTTCTTGATTTCTCTTTCAGTGAGTTCATCACTAGCATATAAAAATCTACTGTGTCTTCTATGTTTATTTTGTAACCTGCCATTATACTGAACTGGTTTATCAGTTCTAACAGCTTTTTGGTGGAGTGTTATGTTTTTCAATGTACAGCATCATCTTATAGGCAAACATGGATATTTTGACTTCCTCCTTTCCAATTTTGAGGCCCTTTCTCTTAATTGCTCTTGCTAATTCTTCCAGTTCTATATTGAGTAAGAGTGGTTTATTTTCATGTTGTATCGTTATTCAGTTTTCATAACACAGTGATACTTGCCTCATTGAAAGACTTACAAAGTTACATCTTATGCAATGTTTTGGAATAGATTGAGAAAAGCATTGAAGTTATTTCCTCTTGAAATATTTGTACAATTCAGTAGTAAAGCCATTAGGTTCTGGACTTTTACTTGAGAAATAATGTTGATTACTGCTTCAATCACATTGCTTGCCATGAGTAAGTTTAGCTTGTCTGTATCATCCAGATTTAAACGTGGTAGATTAATTTATCCATTTCTTTGAGGTTTTCCAGTTTGTTACCATATAGTTTCTCATAGAAGTTTCTTATGATCCTTTGTATTTCAGTGGTGTCATTGTAATATCTCCTGCAATTCTAATTTTTGTATTTTTCTATTTTTTCTCTTGTTAGTCTGGCTAATAGTCTATTTTGTGTATCTTTTCACATAATCAGCTTTTTGTTCTGTTGACCTTTGGTATTTGTTTAGTTTCAATTTCATTTATTTCCTCTTGTTCTTGGTATTTTAAACCTTTGTTATTCATCATTAGGTCATTTATTTGCCATATTTCCCTTTCTTTAATGTAAGTGCTTTATGCTGTAAACTACCCTGTTAAAACTACTTTAGCTGTACCCCACAAATTTTGATATGCTATGTTTTCATTTTCATTTATTCTTTTTTTAAACTTTTCTAGAGTAAGACATATATTTTTTAAAGATTTATTTATTTACTTGAAAGGTGGAGTTACAGAGGCAGAAAGAGGGAGAGGAGGAGGGGGAAGGGCAAAGGGAGGGGAGGGAAAGGGAGGGGAGGGAGGGAAGGAGAGAGGGGGAGAGGATCTTACAACTACTTGTTCACTCCCCAAATGGTCACAATGGCCAAAGCTGGGCCAATCTGAAATCAGGAGCCTGGAGCTTCTTCCAGGTCTCCCATGTGGATGCTGGGGTGCAAGCACATGGGACATTTTCTACTGTTTTTCCAGGCCACAGTAGAGAGTTGGATCAGAAGTCGAGAAGCCAGAATTGGAACTGGCGCCCAAACAGGACACTGGTGCCATAGGTAGAGGCTTAACCCACCATGCCACATCATCAGCCACTCATTTTCATTTAATTCAAGTAGGCTTATTTACTTTTAAATTTCTTAAATGACACATTGATCATTTGGTAGCATGTTAACTTCCATGTACTTATGAGTGTTCTTCTCTTCTTTTTGTTAAATTTTTATTTGACAGAGTTAGACAGTGAAAGAGAGAGACAGAGAGAAAGGTCTTCCTTCCGTTGGTTCATCCCCAAAATGGCTGCCATGGCCAGAGCCATGCTGATCCGAAGCCAGGAGCCAGGTGCTTCTTCCTGGTCTTCCATGCGAGTGCAGGCACCCAAGCACTTGGCCCATCCTCCACTGCCTTCCTGGGCCACAGCAGAGAGCTGGACTGGAAGAGGAGCAACCAGGACTAGAACCCAGCACCCATATGGGATGCTAGCACCGCAGGCAGAGGATTAACCAAGTGAGCCACGGCACCAGCCCCTTCTTGTTGTTAATTTCTAATTTTATTCCTTTGTTACCTGAGAAGACATCCAGTTTGATTTCAATATTTTTCAATTTACTGAGGCTGGATCTGTGGCCTAATATATGGTCTAGCCTAGAAAATGTGGGGTTTTTGTTTGTTTGTTTGTTTTTGTTCCAAAGAGACCATTTGGCTGAAATGTCCTCCAAATGTCTGTTAGGTCCATTTGCTCAATAGTATGGTGAAAATCCAATGTATCTCTATAGATTTTCTGTCCAAATGATGTTTCCATTGATGACAGTGGGGTGTGAAGCCACCCACTATTATTGTATTGGAGTCTATCTCTCCCTTTAGGTCATACATAAACACACACACACACACACA